TTTTTTTTTTTTTTTGCAGTTTTTGGCCACAGCTGGGTTTGAACCCACCACCTCTGGTATATGGAGCCAGCGCCCTGCTCCCTGAGCCACAGGCACCACTCCCGGATGAAGTTTTTTAAAGTTAGCATTCTGAGGGGTGAGACACCCCAGCCCATCTGATAAAATGCCAGTGATCCTTCTACCCCCAAGTGAAAGATCAGAGGGTTTGCCACTGAGAAACTAAATGGAGAAAAAGATCCCACAAAGAGCAGCAGCTAGGTCCTCTCACCCTGCTCATATATTCAGGGGCTCCAATTGGCTTCATAAGGCTTCACTTCTCATCATGAATGGACAGGCAAGGGTTGCCCATCATGAAAGATAGCTGCTGGCATTGACCACAGAGACTGAGATGAACAAGAAAGAATAAAAGAGAGAGAGAGCTTGGAGGCCGGGCGCAGTGGCTCATACCTATAATCCTAGCACTCCTGGAGGCCAAAGGCAGGTGGATTGCTTGAGCTCTTAGGTTCGAGACCAGTATGAACAAGTGCAAGACCCCATCTCTACTAAAAATAGAAAAACTGAAGCAGAGGATCGCTTGAGCCCAAGAGTTGGAGGTTGCTGTGCGCTGTGATGCCATGATTCCACGGCACTCTATCCGGGGCAACAGCTTGAGACTGTCTCAAAAAAAAAAAAAAAAAAAAAGAAAAGAAAAGAAAAAGAAAGAAAGAAAGAGCTTGGAGGAATAAAGACAGGTAGAGGTCAGAAGAGAACTTCAAACCCTTATCAAAATCCCCATAGAGACAAAGCAATACGCTTTATAAGTGTAACAAGACAAGCATATTATTTGTTAAAGGAATATAACTATAAAATTATAGAAATTAAGGCTGTGTGGCATTGACAAGGAGACACAAATTGACCAATGGAAGTTAGAAAGAGACCCACACATAAGTGTTCACCTGACCTAGGACAAAGGTCACACCACAGTTCACTGGGGAAAAGATGCACTTTTTTTTTTTTTTGAGACAGTCTCCCTCCACAGATAGAGTACCAGAGCATCAGCCTAGCTCACAGCAACCTCAAATTCCCAGGCTCAAACGATCCTCCTGTCTCACCCTCCTGAGTAGCTAGGACTACAAGCACCTGCCACCACACTGGGCTAGTTTTTCTATTTTTTTAGTAGAGATGGGGGTCTCACTCTTGCTCAGGCTGGTCTCAAACTCCTGAGCTCAGGCAATCGATCCACCTCGGCCTCCCAGAGAGGATGCTCTTTTCTTTCTTTCTTTCTTTTTTTAGACAGAGCCTCAAGCTGTCACCCTGGGTAGAGTGCCGTGGCATCACAGCTCATAGCTACAGGTGCCTGCCACAACACCCGGCTATTTTTTGGTTGTAGTTGCCATTGTTGTTTGGCAGGCCCAGGCTGGATTCGAACCCGGGCCTGCCAAACCACAAGCGGCTAAGGTGCCAGCCACATACAGCTCTGGCCTTAGCCACTTGACCTACAGGCGCCAAGCCAGGATGCCTTTTTCAATAATGGTACTGGGTCAGCAGCATCCATAGCTCAGTGGGTAGGGCGCTGGCCACATACACGGAGGCTGATGGGTCAAACCCAGCCCAGGCCAACTAAAAACAGCAATGACAACTATAACAAAAAAATAGCTGGGCACCTGTAGTCCCAGCTACTTGGGAGGCTGAGGCAGGAGAATCGCTTAAGCCCAAGAGTTTGAGGTTGCTGTGAGCTGTGACACTACCGCACTCTACTGAAGGCAACGTAATGAGACTCTGTCTCAAAGCAACAATAGCAACACCGAAAAAACCCTATTATTTAAAATAGTTTTGAATTGCACATGAACTATATGGACATGCTGTATATAAGAATATTTAGGCTCGGCGCCTATAGCTCAACCGGCTAAGGCGCCAGCCACGTACACCTAAGGTGGAGGGTTCGAATCCCCAGCCCGGACCCGCCAAACAACAATGACGGCGGCAACGAAAAAAATAGCCGGGCGTTATGGC